CTCATTCAGAGGCTTTTGAGGCTGATTAAGAGCAGCAGAATCTGCTGGAAACTGGGATTGGGGATATTTGTTTGTTATAAAACACATTCTAAAAGCATCGAGATTTGAAAGTGTTTTTAATTAACATTTCAGCAGAAGCCAAATTGGGAAGTGTGTCGTTTTTTCTCCCAATACTCTTAAAAACAGATTTTCCATTTCTAAATGTTCCATTTCAAAACAAAAATAATAAATAAATAAATAAAACTCCCTTCTTTGGTTCTACCTCATTATTAGCTCTGCTCTCTGGACCAACTTTTTTCTCGTTGACCTGCAGAAGCGTGTGATTCTGTTTTCATTTTCTTCACCATTTGAACCTCTTTAACCCTGTAATGCCAAATGTTTCATATCTGATTCATACGGTTTCTGAAATGTTTTGTGTCTGACTCCTTTTGCATAATTTAATGGTAAAAACTTTGCTCAAAATCCTATTGAACACAATCAGATACACCTGATAACAGGGGGCAGAAGATACACAAAAAATAATCTTGACTTATCGCATAGTAATAAATTATTAATATTAAACATTCATTTCTGTTTTTTCTTTTTACATATTTCGTTAAAAGGCCAAATAAGGAATTCAAACCAAAAAAAGTAATTTTCTGTTTTGTTTTATTCTTGGATCAGGCTTTAAAGGGTTAACAGAGGTCATATTTTCTGGAAAGATAAATAAAAATGAGGCTAATCAGTTATTTTGGGAACCTTATTGCTAGCGTACCGGCAGGCCTGAGTGTGAATGATCCGAATCACAATCGGACTTTATCTAAAAGGTTTCATCCAAGTAAAACCCAACTGAAGGGCGGTGGAGAAGACAGCCTTTAGGAATGACTCCCGTCCTGTTTGGTGGAGTTTGGCTTTGTTTTACAGGCAGCAAAAACCATATTGAGAGGCTTGTTGTGTCATCTGATGTGTTTTTTCATTGAAACCTCCTAGCTAGCTTAACGCTGGTCTGTTGTGTGTGTCCAGATGTTTGAAATCTGTTTGTGTTGCTCTTTTTTTTTCTGAACCTTTGTCCCGTCTGGGGGAATGTCTGGTGTGTTGTCATGTCTTGATTACCTATTGTGTTCACCTGGGGTTCCCCTCCCTCATGTGTTTAAATAGTCCTGTTTCCCATGTCCTGGGCCAGTGCGTTTTTGTTTTTCGTCTTTCTGTTTTCGTCACCCCACGTCAGGTTTAATTTAGTCACAGCCTAGTTTACTTTATTGCCATAGTCTTGTTTTTGCCATGGTCTTGTTTACCTTATTTGATACTTTGTTCACGTTTTTTCATGTTTTTTCACAGTCATGTAATCTTGCTTTGTTAGTTTTTTCACAGCCTTGTTTTGTACCATGTCTGCCATCCACTCCTTTTGAGTGTGTTTTTTGTTGAAAATAAAACCCT